TATCCAATGTTGGGGGAAAAAAACAGAAAAGGGAGTGTGATAGCTTGTTATGGAAACGACAGGCCAGCCAAGAAACAAGCACCACTCGGAAGGCTGGAGTACTCAGATGTATTCCGCCGGCGGGCTCAGAGGGGCTTCTGCTCCGAAGCTCTGAGCACCTCCAAGACGTGCGCATGAGGTTTTATAGGGTAAAGTACAAGCTTGGGGTATTCGGCCAATAGGCATGGAACAGCTTTAGCAGAATCATTATCACAAAAGTGGAGGCAGGGAGGCAGCAAACCAACATTTCAAAGCCAGATATATCTCTGTGAAAATCCAGTTGGCTAGCAAAAAAAAAAAAAAAAATCATGAACAGCAAACTAACACTAATTCACTTAGATTTACAAGTTAGTCCAGAACTCAGATCAGTATTTCGATACTTAGATTTGTGAGTTATCTTGTTAGCCCAGCCCAGCTTTTCTTTCACATTCTTAGACTTGTGAGTTATCTCGTTAGTCCAGCCCGGCTTTTCCTTCACAAGCTGAAAAACAAAATTCCTAATTCCCAAAGCATGAGACTGGGTAATACTCATAAACTAGAAATATGTTATTCATCATCAAAAGCCACAAGTCAACTGCCTAACTGTGTGGAGTGTGGTATTAAATACTACACTAAACAGAAGACAAGATGGGCACTGAGCAGAAATTATTTACACAACTTGCTTCCTCTGAAAGAAGGAAAATTACCTCTATGGCAAATTACCCTCGCTTGGTCTCATCTGTGCTGCCACTGATCTCTACCTGGAGGTTGAATATCCAGACAGAAAAGATGAAGAGAACAAACTCTTACATAAAGAATTAAAAGGAATTCTAAATGCTCTGAGTTCTGTGAAACAGGGAAGCTCAGTAACTCTTGAAATAACAAGTCGGCTCACATAATGGGAGAGTCCAGGGAAGGAAGTTCATACAATTCAGGGGAAAAGAGGGCAAATTTGCAGCTAAAAATAAGGCTTCAGAAGAAAAATTGTAGACGATTCTTTTTCAGTATGATAAAAGAAAAAAAGAAAAAGAGAAAAAGCAGCCATGTTCCTCAAATCAAATTTTGAGTAAGCTGTCTGGCCTGGAGAAATGCTCTAGCTTTAAAACTTCTAAAGATGACAGACTAAATTTTAACTTAGGGAGATTGAGAAGGAAACTAGATCTAGGTTTCTCTGAGACCCTCCCTACTAACAAGGACCCAGAAATAATTCTCCAGCAACAAGTCCCGAACTGCTGCTCCAAGGCTGCCCAATTTGTCACTCATAATTTCCTCTGCCTTGAATGCCCTCCTCCTGGACTTGATCCTTAAAATTTTAGCCATGAAGTCAGACAAGGGTGCAAAGGTCAGAGTCAGACTGAATCCAAGTCCTGGGTTCCATCTGAAGGGCCAAGCCCAGGCCCTTCACCTCTCCAAACCTCACTTTCCTCTTCCTCAAGAAAACCCCAGTTTATCAGAAGGGTTTTCTCCCACATCAGCCCCTCCTGACTCTTCCTCATCTCAGTAAATGCTCCCACCATCTACTCAGCTGCTCAACTCAAAACCAAGGGGCCCCTCTTCATTCCTTTCTTTTCACACATAAGCCCCTCAGCAAGTGCTGTCCACTCTACTTTCAAAAGCAAACTCCAAATCAATCAAATTCCTCCTACTTCCACTGTTGCCACCCTCTCCAAGCCACCAGCACCTCTCCATGGCTCCTCGAAGTACCTCCGACCTGGTTTCCTGGCATCTATTCTCACCCTCTTCAATCTATCCTCCATACAATCGCCAAAATGATCTTCTAAGAGCATAAATCACATCTTGTTACTCCCTCGCTGAACGCTCAGTAGTCCACCACTGCACTTAGGATAAAATTTGAATTCCTCCCCTGTCTGGCCTCTGCCTACCTCTCTGATTTCCTCTGTTTCTCCTTCCTTTGCTCTGTCCTCTCTGTAGTGGCCTCCTCTCTGTTCCTGAAATTCTTCAATTTCCTTCTTGCTCGAGGACTCTGCACTTGTTGGTCCTCTGCCTGGAATCCCCTTCCGTCCAGTCTTTGCATCACTGATCCGATCATCCAGGGCTGGCTCACGTGCTGCCTCCTCAGCTGGACCCCCCATCACCCCATCCTGTGCTGCTCTGCTACAGGGCTGGTTCCTTGCCCCTTACCTCTCCCTGTTTCAACTTCTTCCTAGTTCTTATCTCGAGCTGCAATTAAATCAGTTATGTGTTCACTTTCACTGGCCTCTCCCCACTAACTTCAAGTGAACAGGGAGGGATCTTGACTCTTAACGTCCTGTTGTCAATGAGTCATATTTGGGGGTCACGTGTCCTGAACTCCATCAAAAGCTATTCACTTCCTAAAGTACTTCATGGATTCCATTTGATGAGGCAAAGCCCGGACCCTTTAATTCCCTGAAATCACACAGCACATTGCCTTGTCCTCAAATAATTACTGAGATGAATTTAATTCTTCCCCAGTACCTTTTACGCTTTGTTGGTTACTCTCAATATTTCAACAAAACATTAAACTTTCATCATTACTTCCAAAATGCTCCCAGGTATGTGCCAGTAAGCACTAGTCATCTCCTACTGGTCACAGAAAAACCTGAAGAATTAAGATTTACTTGGGGATAAACTCAGTATCTTTTGAGAAAAAATTTTTTAAATCTCAGAAAACTAAATTTAGAAATAATAATGGTCAGAAGATTAGAACTGAAAGCTGTGGTGCATCTTGAGCTATGTTAATTATACTAGAAATTTAAAAAAACTAATCTTCCTAGCAAAAGTGCATAGTGGGATCATTATCCATTACTCTAATACGTAATGTTAGTATTGTTTTCCACATGTTAATCTCCACGATTCTTCCTTTTCTCATCTTTACCCTTAAATGTTTAATAAATATCCACAAACTTAAAAAACTGCTGTGTGAGGAGAAAAAAAGGAACCTGTTGTAATCATGATATAACAAAACACAGCAAATGTGCCTCAGTTTAATCTTGCAAAGATGTTACCCAGGCTTCCTCAAAATAGAATTCTTCTTAAAAACACAATTAACAGCAAATTCTTCTAACACTTCTGCCAGCTCCCATTTATCTTTATCTTAAAACCTAGCTTTAACTTCCAAAAGCTGGAGACAACAGCATCTGCCCTTTTTAAGCTTTAGCTGTTTCTTTGAAACCCAAACTGGAGTTTACAAAATGGAAACACCCGAGGCAGCATACCCAGGCACCACCCTGAGAGCATCAGTCAGTCTACACAGCTGAACTGGTAACCCTGCATTTGTTTGGAAAATAACAATGTCACTTATATATTATATGGTCATGATTTCTTAAAGAAAATAGCGGGTATTAAGATGAAAGTTCATACTAGTTAAAAAAAAAAAAGGGAGACCATTTAATGTTAATAGGTAGGTATGGTATAAACATTTTCCCAGAGAAATTTAGTATCTGCTATAACTTCCTGTTTCAGAGGTTTCTCATTTCTGCTCCATGTATCTTTACCCCAAACTATCCGAACATTTTCTTATGTGAAGAAGGAAAGACCAGATTTCTGAAACAGACCGATTGAAATAAGTAACAGCTGGAGCACCAATCCTGCTTCTGGGACAAAATGCGTGACTGACAAGCCACCTAACCACTCCGGCCTCGGTTTATTCATCTGAAAAAGGTGGAATGGGACAAGGTGATTTCTACATTACTATCATCTTTGAAATTCTGTCCTTGAGAAACATCATAAACAATTACAAAAACATTACACATAGATGTAGAAAACACAGATGTCAATAAATAAAACTATCATTTCCTAAAAAGAGATGTAGGGTTCTCACAGGAAGACTGGATGATGGGGGGAGTGAAGGACAGACTATGCCAGGCGCCTACTGGCAATCACACTCCAGAGTTACTCTGATTTTGTCTCTGAAGTAAAACTGCAAAAAAATCAGACTGCCTTTAACTGCATGTCCTAGGCTAGTCATAAATAATATGAAACCTTACTCATTTGTGAAATCAGGCACAGGGACTGGCACATAGTAAGTACTCAAAAAAAATCTGTTAAATGAGTAAATGAGTGACCAAAATACACACATGCTTTTGCTCCCTACCTCAAGAGGCTACGTTCATATGAATTAAAATTAAAAAATAATTCAAAAAAAACTTCAAGTGTTACACAGAAGAGACAAAATTGGGCAGCTGGCTTGTCTAGAGTGACTTCCCAATGGCCAGACTCTCCGGCCTTTTGAGCTGACCAGGGCTACAGACCCGAGCCAGGCCAATCACCTTCTCCTAGGAATCTGGAAACCTGAACACACAGGAAGTGATCGAGGGTGCTGAAGCATCGTACAGGGCTGCCCTGGAGAGACAGGGGAATCCCCGCTGCAAAGTTCATGGACTTGCCCTGGTTCCAGTCCTCCCAGAAGACGGGCATCCAGCTATTCCTTGTAGAAGCTACTAAAATGTCCTTCCAATAGCTTTCTGGTTAAGATGGTCAGAGTTGGATTCTGTTGTTTTCAATAAAATTCATCTCATTAAATAGGAAAGATATGGGATATTACAAATATCCTATATCGCTTTAACTGTAATGTTACTGTTGAGAAAGGAGCTACCATCTATTGAAAATCAGTATAGCAGTACTTTGTGTCACATGATTTAATTCTCAAGTGAATCCCATGAGGTAGGTGTTTTTCATCCTGTTTCCCTAATGGGACTGTAAGGGTTAAATAGCTTGCTTGCAGGGCCCAAGTTCACATTCAGGCTGCTCTGACTTCAAAGTCACCAGGCCACATTGCCTCTAATATTATTATTTTTATTTTCAAAAACTCCTGGCTTTCAAAGGACTTTTCATAAATCTGAGCATTCAGAATTATAATTACTTATCTGTGTAGCAATTTATATACCACTTATGTGCAAGAGCCATGATTCTGAATAATAAAATTTTGAATATTAAATTTACTAAATCTCTTCTTTAAAGCCTTTGTACTCTTAAAAGTAGCTTCTTTTCCATAGTGGAAAGATTGTAGTGGAAAGGGTATAGGTAACTGTACAAAATGGTGGCATGAGAGGTGGGAGGACTGAGAAAGTAAAAATGAAACATTTCTGATTTTTTAAAAAGTAACTTTTTTAAGGAAAAGAAAATTGTGATAAGAATTTTTTCTTGTAAATTTTCTTTGCTAGAAAAATCTTCAAATGTTGCATATTTTCTGTAAGAAATTTCTAGAAGGAATTTGGGATAGCTGAGAACTGTAGAATTAGCCAGGAAGGAGGTGGCGGAGGGAGAATCCAGTGCTGAGAGCACACAGCGCTGACAAGTCCGGACTGGCGCAGTCTCGGACATCAGCATTTCACGTGGGGCGCTGCCTCAGAAGGTAGGACACTGGCTAATAGGAACCCTAATCTAGGACACTCATTTGTAACTGAAAGAACAAACAAGATTAAAACTCAATCCCTCCTGAGCTATAGCACTGAGAACCAGTACATTCTGTAGAGATCATGAAGGAAATAACTAGGGCAGATAACGTAAAGCAAGATTCCTCCAACCCAATGGAAACTGTGTTCCATTCAGTCTGACGAGGTACCTCATCTCATCCCGCATCCTCCTACCCTTTCGCCCAAGACCATTTATGGAGCACTTATTATATTTGCTATGTAATGTACCAGACCGTGGAAATATACTGGTAAACAAGATACAACCCCTACACTGTGAGACGGATGAGTAAACAGACAGTTGTACTGCTGCATGGTAGGGTCTATGATGGATGGAGCTTAGGGTGCTCTGAGTCCATCCACAGAGACATGATTTAATCTTGAAATGATTAGAGCATATTTTAACAAACTCAAATAACTTCAAAAAATGCCTCAGATGATCCTCAAGTTTAAATCATACTGACATTTCTATTAAAAAAAACATCCTTGAAGTCATACAATTGCTTTTCAAAGTCCTAAAGTTCCTTTAAGATCTTTCCTAGCAGGTTTTAACTTTTTAGCTTCCATCCATTCAAAACTCTTTGCTAATAAATAATTTGGTTATTTTACATATTTCATCCCAAATCTCAGAAATATTAGCTTTTTCTTCCTTACTACATTTTTTGTTGTTGTTGAAAAGAAACAAACATGTTACCACTGGGTGTGGGAAGGGAGAGAGGATATGGAGAATGGACTCCTGTCTTCCAATCCTGTAAGTTGTTTACAATAAGCACAGACTCCTTTCATAACTGAGAAACATAAGTATTTATTAATAATGCCATAAAATCCACACATTGTTTTATGTTCATGTTTTCTATAGATCAACTACAGAGATGCAAGTACACTGAAGTCATTTCATTGTGATTTAATTATTGCTCGGTAATAACTCTGGTAGTGACATTATAATTTGTGACTTGGCATTAAGCAGGAACAAGTATAAAATAATAATGCACTGTTTTATGCACTCTGTCCCTTATTTTATTATGGTTTTTCTGTAAAATCTTGGGGGATAAAAATTTGCTTTATTTCTTCTGTATGCAGCTACTATAGAACATTATGTTCATTTCTCTCAGGGTTTTATAATTCAGTGCTGCCAGCTCAAATTCTCACTTTTTCTTCAAAGCATTTCAAAATGTTACACAGCCTTCATTCCATAGATCATGCAACATTTCTGCATGGTGTGTTAGAAACAACTAGGGTAACCACTATCTTCTCTCAAATGTATGTATTTGAGATAAAGATGGAGAATGAGTATATAAACTCTTGAACCACCAAGACTCTGAACCTTCAGTTGTATAATTCAGAATTAAAACACTCTCTAGTCTCTTAATCTTTCCTCTTTAACCCATTCTTTCTTTCCAACCAATTCGGTCTATTAATAGTTATGGAAAATCAAAGAAAAAATTCAATCAAACTGGTGAGGTTTACTACAGCTCATAGCTAGAAGATGGTGATGCTGTGGTTTCTTCTTTTTTTTTTTTTCCAATTGAAGGATAGTTTGTTATAAATGTTGCATTAGTTTTGCTGTGGCTTTTTGAGAAAATTAGTCCCTCTGAGCTTCAGTCTCATCATCTGTGAGTGGGGATCAAACTGCCTCTTTTCCACTTGGAAGTGCTTAAAGGCACAGAGGAAGAGGGTTTGTAAATTATTAAGCATCATAAAGACAAAGTGTTATT